GGAATCACAGTTCATTTAAATTTTACATAATGTTCTAAGGAGGGCTATTTTATAAAGTAGTCATATCTTAACTTTTCAAAATATTTTTATCTTTGAAGAGATCTTATTTAATGCACCAGAAGTCTGGCAATGACATTCTAGTGAGAAAGGCAGGAAAAAACAATCAAGACAAACAGTATGGTATAGAACATACAATTCTAATATACATATTCAATTATATAGAGTTTCTCTAAGGCACCACTACTTAAAGGGCTCAGCATTTCAGTATAAGTAATTTATAACAGGTCACTAATGTTATCCACAGCTGAGTTGGTTACAATAATTTCATTTGCAAGTGTCGTTCAGATATTGGTAATGAATAGAGGAGCTAAAGCAAGCATGGCTTTATGTACTGGAGGCAGAGTGCAACACCTCTGAACTCTTTCTCTTCTGTTTCTTAACTCTTGTTAGATTAATTCTAGAAGTATGCTGTCTTTACAGAACGATGATTTCTCTTTATAAATTATCTAGTTTGTGCTATTCTTTTATAGAGGAAGAAATAGACGAAGACAAGTTATTTAAACAAAAGTGGTAAGGATACTGGAGACAGTGTGGGAAGATGGTGGGGGGGGCGATAGAGTATGAGGAAAGAAAATTAAGAAGAAAAATAGAGAGGCTAGATTCTTATGGGACACAGAAATAGACTGTGGTCTGTCGATGATAATATGTATAGTATCTTTAACTGAACTGACATGAGGGGTATTCATGCTGGATAAATTCACTTTACAACTAAGTAATATATTGTGATTAAATGTATACAATAAATTTAAATAAGTAAATAAATGAAGTATACTTAAACAAGACCAAAACAAACAGAAGCAGGGAAACTAATTATAAAGCTATTGAATTAATTCGAACGTAAAATACTATAATATCATTTAAAGTCACTTTATCCTTATTCTTAAGTTATTTTATTTTTGTCCTTGCTTATCCTTAAGTTATTTTATATTTAAATTTTTGTGATTAATTTTTATGTTTACATGGTTTTATGGAGATTATTATAAAACCATGGTCAGTTATGTTGTACTTTTAATAATAAAATGCTTAGCTATTTGAGTGTGTCACTGATGTGTTCCTTGCATATTTGCACACACACTTAACAATGTTTATTGTGTTTTAGTTGATCCTGAAAGCTTTTTTATTGGTCGACATTTCATTATTGTGCTTTCCACGGTCACCTTTACTCTGCCTTTATCCTTGTACCGAGATATAGCGAAGCTTGGAAAGGTAATTTTTACATTTTTAAATAGAAGTATAAATGACCTTTTTGTTGAATTAATTTTGTCAATCTGTGATCTGTTTTGCAAAATCTTTAATAACATTATTTACCTTTAGTTTCGTTTAGTTTATTTATGATTATGTAGAATAAGTGATATAATTTATTAGGTGATTTCTAAGAACGGATGGATAAATAGTTGATGAATATAAACAAAATGTGTTTTCCTGTTTTGTTTTGCTTTTTAATTTTCCAGAGGGCCTGTGTGCTTGCCAGAGAGTGGCAGGGAGAGAGAGAGAGAGAGAAGGTGAGAGACTACCGTCCCCAGATCATGGTCACACTGAAATCCCCTCTGCTTCATCTCTCCCTCCCTTTGGGATTTTGGGTACGAACCTGCACACAGCCCGCATACTCCCCAAGCTGCTGGTCTAGGTCTTCAGGTGTATAGTTGGCATACAGGATCAAGCTCCCTTGAACACCAGGCCTCCCTCCTTTATTTCTTCTGAAAATAAAGGACGGATATTTTTGACAGAGTAGGGTGGATATTTTCGACGGAGTCGTGGCAGGTAGCAATTTTCCTGCCCCGGCCTCCTGTTGGGCAGGGACCACAAGTGCATACCACTGCACCCAATGTTTCAAGTGGGCCAGAACCAAACCCAGGCCTTCTGTTCAGCCTCAGAGCCTCTCAAAAGTGCCTTCCCATTTGCATTACCCTAGCTGCACCTTTTTCTTATTTAAAATAGATAATCCAATGAATGTCAGCACACTTTAAATTTAGAAAATAGGAAGAGCTATACCTAAAGCAAGTCTAGTTTATTGGAAGTGTTTTATCTTGTAACAATTTTTAAACAATTTAAAAGTAAGTGAAGAGCTAACGGTGAATCACTTGGTTGCTTACAATATTTTTATTTACAAATTACAGTGTTTCTTTTGCTTAGTTTTCATTCAGTGAGTTTAAACGTAATGTGTTGATTGATCAATTATTGAAAATTTGGCCATTATTAATGATTCTTATTGCTACAGAGGTATTCTGAACTCTTTCTAATGAAACCAACCAAATAATTATTCAATCCACTACATAAACTCATTTGCATAGATTAGCATTCAGCTGGCTGTATTTTATTTTTTAGTCTCAAGGAATGTTTGTATTTTACTCAAAATATTGTTGATGCTATGTCTACATGATATCAAGCATCTTGATGACATATTTTTTAAGTTCTTCCTATATTTTTATATTCTATTTCCAAAACCAACAGTTGACAACTAAATCGTACTTTGCACTGTGATGTCTGATATAGTTTATCCAGTACTGAAATCCCTCCTTCCAGGGACAACTGAAAGTAGAAGTAATACCTAACCTTTCTTCCCTAAAATCATCCAGAAATACACAAGAGTGTGTCAAAGGGCTATTTTTGTAAGTTTTCTTGAATGATTGGAATATTTCCCATTTCAACATGTTCAGTGTAGACACAAATATTGGGACCAGCAGATAGCATAGTGTTTACATGGCTGGACTCACACATAGTTGACCATGGTTTGAGTCCCAGACCCTGTGACTTGAAACTCACCACACTTGCATATACAGATACGATCTTCTGAAAGCAGAAACCAAGGTATTCATGAAAAGAAAGCTACTAATATTTTATCCTATTATTAATGACCATTTTTTTCCTGAATGTTCCTTAAAAGTATAATGTTGAGAGTCAGCCAGGAGGCATAGTGGTTAAGGTGACTTAATCCCACATGGCTGACTGCGAGGTTCAAATCCCAGGCACAGTGGCTTGAAAAATATGCTAGGTGCATGGGCATGCAAGCCAAAGAAACACTCAGAAGAATAGAGGAGAAAGGATTTTGGCATGGACAACTGAAAGTAGAAGTAATACCTAACCTTTCTTCCCTAAAATCATCCAGAAATACACAAGAGTGTGTCAAAGGGCTATTTTTGTAAGTTTTCTTGAATGATTGGAATATTTCCCATTTCAACATGTTCAGTGTAGACACAAATATTGGGACCAGCAGATAGCATAGTGTTTACATGGCTGGACTCACACATAGTTGACCATGGTTTGAGTCCCAGACCCTGTGACTTGAAACTCACCACACTTGCATATACAGATACGATCTTCTGAAAGCAGAAACCAAGGTATTCATGAAAAGAAAGCTACTAATATTTTATCCTATTATTAATGACCATTTTTTTCCTGAATGTTCCTTAAAAGTATAATGTTGAGAGTCAGCCAGGAGGCATAGTGGTTAAGGTGACTTAATCCCACATGGCTGACTGCGAGGTTCAAATCCCAGGCACAGTGGCTTGAAAAATATGCTAGGTGCATGGGCATGCAAGCCAAAGAAACACTCAGAAGAATAGAGGAGAAAGGATTTTGGCATGGCCATTCCCTCAGGGGTCAATTTCTCTCCTTCTCTCTCTCTTTCTCATTTTGTTTCTCTCTAGTGAATGCACACTTGTAGAAAATTAAAAAATAAAAAATGTTATGTTCAAATACCTAAATAAATCTCACGAGTTGTAAAAAAGAGTAGTTAGAGCTCTGATCTGGAGTCAGACTGCTTGTATTTGCGTTCCCTCTCTCTCACTTTCTGTTTCTGTAGCCTCGAGCATGTCACATAATCTCCTGATTCCTCAGAAGATCAGAGGACTCATAATAGAAATATCTTTCTGGTTAAAAATTAACAACTTCAAAAACAAGGTTAATGATACTCACATGCGATAAGAATGATTTTTTTTATTATTTTTCTTATCAAAGGACAATCTAAAATGTGTTTATTAATTTAAAAAATCTAAGAACAGAGGCACAGATCTAACATAATTAATTCACAGAGTACATACACAGTACCGTTTAACCAATTGAAAGTGGCGGAAGAGAGAGGAGGAAGGAGAGTATAATGAAACTGAGTACAACAGTGATCAAAAACACAAAGGCAAAACAGATTGCAGAGAAGGGGAAAAAAAGCAGAGCGCCCCTCCAAACAGTGTTGTGGCAGTGGGAGTGGCATGTGTGTTGTGTTGGAAGGAAGAGGGTAGAATAATGACTGAAGCAAAAAAAGCAATTATTGATGGGAGAAAAAGCACAAGTCCACAGTAAGTTAGGGCCTGAAGGGAAAAGAAAACAATTTCACTTTTCTCTTCATTAACCTAAATCACCAGTCTCATAGCCAATGCACAAAGCCGCTAAAGCAGATGAAGCCATGTTGCAAGATTAAAACCATAGCCTGGTTGGAGGGTGAGGAGACTAATCTGATAAGAAGTTAGATGCCTGCTATTATCAATACCAGTCTGTAAGAACAGGCTGCTAAATAAGTCTACCCAAGTGAAAAAAGAGAAAGACCTGGTCTTTTCAATAAAATAATCTCTATCTTCACTGACAATATCTTTACATTTTCTTTACAGATATCGCTTATTTCTACCATTTTAACAACTCTGATTCTTGGAATTGTAATGGCAAGGGTAGTTTCAATGGGTCCACAAATGTAAGTGTATTCGTTACCTTTGTTAGCCTTCAGTAGATAGTCTTCATGTGCTTATGTCCACAACAAATTAAAAATGAAGAAATATAAAGTGCTTGTGGTATTGGTATTGGAAACATCATTTATCTTGAGTGTTTGACAAAATGAGAGAAAAGAATTACAGGTAAGTAAACATGTGTTTTTCATTCAGACCTGCAGGTTGAATGTGATTAAATCAAGTTTTCTTGCTATTTTAATAACCAGTCCTAAAATTTTGAATAAAGAAACAATTTTAAATAGTGGAAAACAGGAACAAAGCTGAGATATCTATTCCAGAAATTGATTTGTTCTTAAACTTTTGCCAGTCTAGACTGAAAGAGGACAAAGTACATAGTGTTTTTCTCCATTAAACTAAATGTAATCTCTTTGAAACCACCTTGTATTCTTTTTTAGATTGTAATCTTTAATTATTTGTGTTAAAAGGCTCTGTTTTTTTATGAACTAATGGTGATACCAGATACTGATATTTATTTATTTTTAATGCTATTGTTTGGCCAAGTAAAATGTTGACAAATTGCTATTGTTTCCCCCAATTTTAAAAATGTTACTCATCCATGAAATTACGATCTACTAATCACAACTACACTATTTTTTTTTCTTAATTTGCTAGGGGTGAATGTGCTCACTAGAGAAACAGAGAGAGAGAGAGAGAGAGAGAGAGAGAGAGGGAGAGGGAGAGGGAGAGGGAGAAAGCAACCTCATGGGGAATAGTCACCCTAAGATCCCTTCTCTATTTCTTTCTTCTTTGGGATTCTGGGCATCCAAGCACACACACCTGGCATATTTTTCAAGCCTCTAGGTCTAGGGCTCAACTGCACAGTTGACCCTGTGCAATTCAGCTCACCTGGGCTGACCAGGCCATGGGCTGGCCCAAACAGCACAATTTTAATGCTTTGTTTATATAATAGATTCAGGGGACCAGCAAGTGGCATGGTGATTAAAGGAACTGGACTGTGGTTTGAGTCCAGCTTGCTTTCTCACATTCTCTGTCTTTCTCTCTCTCTTTGGCTCTCTCTGGTAAGCACATATGCCCTATAGAAATTTTAAAAATAATAATAACAATAAATTAACTAATTCTTATTTAAAAATAGATTCAATAGATAAGGACCAGGTAGCTAGCATAGTACCAAGTAAATGTTGGAATGAAATCAGTTTAAATCAACTTTATACACAGAATTAGATTTTCGCAATACACAACAAATACTTGTTAAATAAGTAAATAATAGGGAGCAGCAGTTAGTGTAATGACTATGTCGCTGGACTCCCATGTAGTCGACCACGGTTCGAGTCCCAGACCGGGTGGCTTAAACTCAGGCCAGGCGCATGTGCGTGCGTGTCTAAGATCTCGAGAGGAGCATGGAGGAGAAGGGATTGCAGCATGGCCATCCCCTCTGGGAGGGGAGATTTCTCACTTTCTGTCTCTCTGTCTCTCTCTGTTTTTCTGGTGAGCACACGCACCCTATAGCAAGAACTTCTCAAAAAAATTTTTTTAAATAAATAAATAATACATTAGGGAGTACCTATGACACCTGAAATATTTTCTCTGTACTAAATAAGACAAGGTAAAATTAATTTAAGTCATACTGTCTAACACAATGCAAGGACTACTGAGTCTTCAATGAATGTTATCTATGAATAAAAGCCCAAAGAAAACGGGGCAGGGAGAGAGAGAGAGAGAGAAGGTGAGAGACTACCGTCCCCAGATCATGGTCACACTGAAATCCCCTCTGCTTCATCTCTCCCTCCCTTTGGGATTTTGGGTACGAACCTGCACACAGCCCGCATACTCCCCAAGCTGCTGGTCTAGGTCTTCAGGTGTATAGTTGGCATACAGGATCAAGCTCCCTTGAACACCAGGCCTCCCTCCTTTATTTCTTCTGAAAATAAAGGACGGATATTTTTGACAGAGTAGGGTGGATATTTTCGACGGAGTCGTGGCAGGTAGCAATTTTCCTGCCCCGGCCTCCTGTTGGGCAGGGACCACAAGTGCATACCACTGCACCCAATGTTTCAAGTGGGCCAGAACCAAACCCAGGCCTTCTGTTCAGCCTCAGAGCCTCTCAAAAGTGCCTTCCCATTTGCATTACCCTAGCTGCACCTTTTTCTTATTTAAAATAGATAATCCAATGAATGTCAGCACACTTTAAATTTAGAAAATAGGAAGAGCTATACCTAAAGCAAGTCTAGTTTATTGGAAGTGTTTTATCTTGTAACAATTTTTAAACAATTTAAAAGTAAGTGAAGAGCTAACGGTGAATCACTTGGTTGCTTACAATATTTTTATTTACAAATTACAGTGTTTCTTTTGCTTAGTTTTCATTCAGTGAGTTTAAACGTAATGTGTTGATTGATCAATTATTGAAAATTTGGCCATTATTAATGATTCTTATTGCTACAGAGGTATTCTGAACTCTTTCTAATGAAACCAACCAAATAATTATTCAATCCACTACATAAACTCATTTGCATAGATTAGCATTCAGCTGGCTGTATTTTATTTTTTAGTCTCAAGGAATGTTTGTATTTTACTCAAAATATTGTTGATGCTATGTCTACATGATATCAAGCATCTTGATGACATATTTTTTAAGTTCTTCCTATATTTTTATATTCTATTTCCAAAACCAACAGTTGACAACTAAATCGTACTTTGCACTGTGATGTCTGATATAGTTTATCCAGTACTGAAATCCCTCCTTCCAGGGACAACTGAAAGTAGAAGTAATACCTAACCTTTCTTCCCTAAAATCATCCAGAAATACACAAGAGTGTGTCAAAGGGCTATTTTTGTAAGTTTTCTTGAATGATTGGAATATTTCCCATTTCAACATGTTCAGTGTAGACACAAATATTGGGACCAGCAGATAGCATAGTGTTTACATGGCTGGACTCACACATAGTTGACCATGGTTTGAGTCCCAGACCCTGTGACTTGAAACTCACCACACTTGCATATACAGATACGATCTTCTGAAAGCAGAAACCAAGGTATTCATGAAAAGAAAGCTACTAATATTTTATCCTATTATTAATGACCATTTTTTTCCTGAATGTTCCTTAAAAGTATAATGTTGAGAGTCAGCCAGGAGGCATAGTGGTTAAGGTGACTTAATCCCACATGGCTGACTGCGAGGTTCAAATCCCAGGCACAGTGGCTTGAAAAATATGCTAGGTGCATGGGCATGCAAGCCAAAGAAACACTCAGAAGAATAGAGGAGAAAGGATTTTGGCATGGCCATTCCCTCAGGGGTCAATTTCTCTCCTTCTCTCTCTCTTTCTCATTTTGTTTCTCTCTAGTGAATGCACACTTGTAGAAAATTAAAAAATAAAAAATGTTATGTTCAAATACCTAAATAAATCTCACGAGTTGTAAAAAAGAGTAGTTAGAGCTCTGATCTGGAGTCAGACTGCTTGTATTTGCGTTCCCTCTCTCTCACTTTCTGTTTCTGTAGCCTCGAGCATGTCACATAATCTCCTGATTCCTCAGAAGATCAGAGGACTCATAATAGAAATATCTTTCTGGTTAAAAATTAACAACTTCAAAAACAAGGTTAATGATACTCACATGCGATAAGAATGATTTTTTTTATTATTTTTCTTATCAAAGGACAATCTAAAATGTGTTTATTAATTTAAAAAATCTAAGAACAGAGGCACAGATCTAACATAATTAATTCACAGAGTACATACACAGTACCGTTTAACCAATTGAAAGTGGCGGAAGAGAGAGGAGGAAGGAGAGTATAATGAAACTGAGTACAACAGTGATCAAAAACACAAAGGCAAAACAGATTGCAGAGAAGGGGAAAAAAAGCAGAGCGCCCCTCCAAACAGTGTTGTGGCAGTGGGAGTGGCATGTGTGTTGTGTTGGAAGGAAGAGGGTAGAATAATGACTGAAGCAAAAAAAGCAATTATTGATGGGAGAAAAAGCACAAGTCCACAGTAAGTTAGGGCCTGAAGGGAAAAGAAAACAATTTCACTTTTCTCTTCATTAACCTAAATCACCAGTCTCATAGCCAATGCACAAAGCCGCTAAAGCAGATGAAGCCATGTTGCAAGATTAAAACCATAGCCTGGTTGGAGGGTGAGGAGACTAATCTGATAAGAAGTTAGATGCCTGCTATTATCAATACCAGTCTGTAAGAACAGGCTGCTAAATAAGTCTACCCAAGTGAAAAAAGAGAAAGACCTGGTCTTTTCAATAAAATAATCTCTATCTTCACTGACAATATCTTTACATTTTCTTTACAGATATCGCTTATTTCTACCATTTTAACAACTCTGATTCTTGGAATTGTAATGGCAAGGGTAGTTTCAATGGGTCCACAAATGTAAGTGTATTCGTTACCTTTGTTAGCCTTCAGTAGATAGTCTTCATGTGCTTATGTCCACAACAAATTAAAAATGAAGAAATATAAAGTGCTTGTGGTATTGGTATTGGAAACATCATTTATCTTGAGTGTTTGACAAAATGAGAGAAAAGAATTACAGGTAAGTAAACATGTGTTTTTCATTCAGACCTGCAGGTTGAATGTGATTAAATCAAGTTTTCTTGCTATTTTAATAACCAGTCCTAAAATTTTGAATAAAGAAACAATTTTAAATAGTGGAAAACAGGAACAAAGCTGAGATATCTATTCCAGAAATTGATTTGTTCTTAAACTTTTGCCAGTCTAGACTGAAAGAGGACAAAGTACATAGTGTTTTTCTCCATTAAACTAAATGTAATCTCTTTGAAACCACCTTGTATTCTTTTTTAGATTGTAATCTTTAATTATTTGTGTTAAAAGGCTCTGTTTTTTTATGAACTAATGGTGATACCAGATACTGATATTTATTTATTTTTAATGCTATTGTTTGGCCAAGTAAAATGTTGACAAATTGCTATTGTTTCCCCCAATTTTAAAAATGTTACTCATCCATGAAATTACGATCTACTAATCACAACTACACTATTTTTTTTT